ACGCCCTTGGGTAAAAAGAGCGTTTCACTAATTTGTGTGATCCACCAACGCTGACCTCCACGGTGCCGGATTACAGCGCGGGGTGTGGCAGTGGTGCGAAGAGAACGCAGAGGGCCCGCGACTTCGCCGATGTCCCTCGATTTAAACCACGCGTCACAACCAAGCCGCCAACATTTCTCTTTCCTGGAGACGTGGGATTTAAGATAAAAAACCCCCATGACGGATGCAGGAATTACCACGATCCAAAACCTCCACTGAAATCCAAACAATCCGGCAAGCACAAATAAAACCACGATGCGACCTCTCACTCAGACAAGCGTATAGGGCGCGTGAATTGTCAGGAGATTAAATATCTAAACAATGAGCAACGATGGCCACACGATGGGATCATATTGTGCAAAAACCACAATACCTCACTGCACGCTAACTCTGGTCATCCTCGCAGCAGTAGCGGCTTTCGGCGAGCCATCGATCAAAGACGGTCAACGCATCGCGCGCTATCAGATGCGCTTCTGCGGCCGTCTGGAACGCTCTTCCTTCCAAAGTTAAGACGCCACTGGGGCTATGCCCTTTTAAATCTAGATTGAAAAAAACTAATTTTCCTCATAACTACTTGTGTTTAGTTCCCCGCACCTCCGATTAGCATGGTTGGCTACGTACGGTGCGGAAGTTCAACATACTGTATACATACAAAACGGGCGATACACGATTATTAAGGCGCTTATATCAGACGGCGTACCGTGGTGTCTTCGTACCGCAGCATCCCTCATGGTTACTCATGAGAGGTGACTTCATGTGAATTATCTATGGAGGCTCCTTGTCTCTTTGCTTCGCTCGGTCACTGCCACCGGTTGCCCGGGTCACCAACCAGGTGACCTCTGGCCTTGTCATGTCATGTCTCCTTGCTCGCTTCCCTCCGAGCTCAAAGTGTTACCTTGCCGCCCTCTGTGGGTGAACATCATTTCCGGGCCATATTCGCCACACAAGTCATGTGTGTGGTGGGTTCCTCTTGCTCCTCCTGCTCCTTCTCGATTGACGATGGAGAGGTCCGACCCATACAGCCTGTTAAGGCCTGCACTGTGTCGGTCAGTCCGAGATTACTCGTGCCTTCTTGTGCATCTGTGTGACAACATATGTCCCTGGTTTAACCTCTGCACATCGTACCCTATCACGTGCTAACATTGTGTTCTAGATGCACGATTTTGGTGTGAAGGCCTCCTTGCAGGGTTGCGCAGGAAGGGACGGGACGGCGATCTCAAGGGCTGAGCAACGTATTTATGCAATTCCCGTTCTTAAACATTATTTTAGTAACTTCATACAGTACTCCATTTATTCCCCAAATTACTAAAATTGCTCTTAAATATTCTTTTAAATCTACACGATCGACACTGCCCCCCCCCAAAGTGCTCGTTTCAGCAAAGCGACGTTTTGACGTTCGTCCACCGTAGAGTGGCCATTCCTACAATATGCCAATTTTTCTACAAAGGGAGCCACATCAAGTAGAGCCATCAGGAGCCAAGCTTTACATTTCCCACCATGCCTGCAGTAATGATATCTGGCTATACAGTCCGGTAGAAGCAAGGCGACCGAGCTTCGGGGTGAAAGAGTCATGGATGCACATTCCCAGTCGCATGCACGAACGAGGCTTCGAAACTCACGGCAACTTTAGAATTTTCAGCCACAGTGCACACAACATGACCTTCCCCGCTCCAAAGTTTTAAGAGCTTGGTTAAGTTGAAGTGGGTGTTTTAATACCGGCACATGTTCTACTTTTTCCCCCACCCCCACCAGCCCATTCCCTCTCTCCCTCCATCTAATACCACTCTTTATAACCTTCCATCCATTTCTATAGCCGCTCTCAACACCACCCCCCCCCCCGCCCCAACGTCTCTCGTCCTCTTTCACCGTCTCACTCCTGCTTATCCTGTTTATCCCTTCAATAGTTGCCGTCTTTTCTATCCATCCGTATGCTCTCCTTTCTCCCTCGCGGTGCTTTCAGGAATTGGACCACAAACAGTTCACGGCAGCATCTGCAAGTAAGTCGACGTCGTAAAACAACCTACGAGACTCCGGCCACCGCCCACCGCATCTGTTGTCAAATGCTGCGACATTGTCATCACAGAATCGCAATGTTTGATTTATCCTGGTGGACTCTTAGAGGATAACCACCTGGACAGAATTTGTGCATCCTTGCTCTGGGAATACTGGTTGTATGTGGACATCCCATCTTAAGGCGTGATTAAGAGGGGCCCCACTCACTGCCAACACGAGGAAGGGCCCCCACAGCCAGCACGAGGCACTCAGAGCGAACACTTCACACTCTTCCCCCCCCCCCCCCCCCCCCCCCCCCCCCGGTTATGTTCCACGAAAAACAAAATTTGAATGAACACAGGCACGAGGTAGCTACAACCGAGGTTTGCCAATAAAAAATAAACAAATTATTAATGGCGAAATGCGTGAAAGTCTGGCACAATTAGGCTCTCTACTCAGCAAGCGTTCCCTCCCATTTCCTTGCACCACTACCACTGTCGGCTCAGGGTTGCGGGTCGTGGCCAAGGCGCGAGTTAAAGCAACCTGCAGATCGTGCCCAGTGGGTGCCTTGTTTTGTGTGTGCAGAGTTTTTAATTAAACGGCCGTCACTTGAGCGAGGCGCAAAGAATATCACCCACAATGCACTGCTTTTAATGTTTAAGCTACACCTTATACTGTGGAATTATTGCTTTAGATCGAGGTCGAGAAGAAAGGCATTTCATCAAACTTTGGCAACTTATCACCTCATTGTACCGAGCGTCAGTTTAACGTTCAATATTCCCAGGGTAATGGAGTTTTAACAGCTGCAGGCAAGTCAGAGAGCATACCAAGAATGCAGCAGGTGTAAGGGACACTCAATATCGAAGGTTGGATGTCGCAAGCGAACTGTATGGAGCAATGAATAGCAATATTTTACTTTTGCAAAATGAATACACAATGACCTGCAAGGAGGCACAGAAATACTGCACCCCAACAACAAACGCATTCATAAATCATTGCTTACCATTCAGAGCGCAACACAAGACTTCACATGTGAACATTATACATGGAATAACACTTTACGTAAAGCGGCAGAAATAAAACACGACGACGCTTCAGTGTCGCGCTTGGGGGTCGCGCGGCCCCTCGCTCCGCTCGAGGTGACCCCCACAGAGGACTCGGCAGACACCGCCAACCGCCAGGGACACCAGCTCCCCCGTGGGCGAGGGCACTTTACGCCCCACTTCCACGCCGATGGTCTCTCGTCGTGTAGGCAGTGGAACGAGTTAGTCAAGAGAGAAACTCGCTGTCACGTGCCGAAGAGGAGAGGGGTAACTACATTTAATAGAAGCCTTCATGCAAGAGGGAAACAACCTGCCCTGCACCATCAGGCACGTACAGCGCTGTGTTTCTTCCTGGTTCAGCAGTTGCACTGCTGGATTATTTTTTTCCCGCCTGATGCGATCGAAACGTCGTGATATATTACTTCGTATTTTATTTTCTACCTACGTTACTTTACCGAAAGAACCAAAGAGTACAGCGCATGGCTTATTTCAATATTTATTGACTCAAAAAGGTAACGCACCAAACGTAGCAGAGTGCACATACAACTTGCGTTAATTCGTATGCACCGCATCACTCTCTGAAGGCCTACACCAACTAATTATACATGCAATACCGGAATAACCTCAACAAAAATAGAAGAAAACAATTAAAGATAAACCATTTACTTTCCAAAACTTATGTGATCGTCATTTTGGGCTTCCTGCTCAGACACGTGTTACATTAGATTAAAAAGCATAATTTATTAATTTCTGAAACTTAATTAGATGCAGACAGACCAGTGGATCACTCCTAACCCTCTTCACATAAGGAAATGAGAAAGCTTTTGTCAGCCACCATCTGGTTCCTAATTTGGGACTGGTAACCCTTGCAAGCACCCAAATGGCGTGCGTCTCCACGCGTGCGCGCGCACAAACAGAGGCCGTGCGCCTCCATGCGGGATTCGTTGTTTTTGACCGGGCGCTCCAGTAGATCTGTATTCCACCACCCTCCCCCCGTGGTGGTAATGAAACACATTTTTTTAAGATTGTTCAAATACCCAGGGATGTAAATAATTAACAATGTTGTTATTATTAATGCTTATTTGCGTGTACATCCCAGACTACC